TTTTCTCAGTGGACAAATGCTGGATATGGGGACAAGATACAGGCAGTCATTGGGAAAGCCCCATTTGAACACTGATTTTCAGGCTCTTTGGGGGAGGAATTTGTTTCAGCAGTGCAACCCCAAATATTTTTGTCTTCAACTGTTCGCTCTGCTACTTTTCCAGGGGTAATTTTGAAAGACACATCTGGATTTTATTTTTTTTTTTCAGCACTGCCATTATCACTGTGAATGTGGCACATCCCAAACAGCTTCAGCAGAAAGTTCTGGGACCCTCAGGTCATGTTTGCTGACCTTTTCCCCCACTCACAGCAGCTGTCTCAGCCTGAGACGAGATATCTACTACTCGCTGTCAGCTCCTCGGAGCAGGCTGGAAGCAGCAACATGGCCATGTACCTCTCCCCTTTCCCAACCCCACCCCAAGCATAGAAGTCGAGTGCTGCAGCCAGAAGGAAATAAATCCCCACCCCAACAACCTCGTCACACAGGGGCCTTAAAAGAAGAATAATGTTAGCGTGACAGTGATATCAGGACAGCCACACGGCTTTACGAGGCAGTAACTCGCTCCCATCACTGTGAAGAGCTACTTGGTCTCTGACCTCCTTATGGTCTCCTGCCAGGGAGCCTGGCTATTGCTGCACAGTGCTGCCACAGGCCCATTAGCACTTAATTAAACAGTCAGGAACACCGTGGGTCTGAGGTGCTCCTTTTAATCCCGTATCACGTGCCTGGCCAGCAAGGACAGTCATCAGGAGGGGATCTCCTTGGGAAGGGATACCTTGGTGAGACCATCTCCACCAGAGCCAGGAATGTGCTCACACAGCATGTGTCAGACACCAGCCAAGCGTCTTTCCTGCACTGTGGTTTCTTTTTTAAACTGACCACAGTCAGATGCAACGTGAAGCTCCTGCCCTTCAAGGAGTCCCTCTGCCCGTATCAGCCCCTGGGCTCTGCAGCCACCACCCCCAGCACAGCTGGGGACTGCCCTGCCTGCGTGTCGGCACCACAAAGGTACCAGCTCCCCGCGAGCACACGCTGCCCAGCGAGGACATCCCTGCTGGGCCACTCAGGGAAGGGTGGCATTGCCCACTCGCTGCCAGCCGAGGACTGCAGGACCGAGATGGGTTATAACTGCACCTGCAGAGTTTGGCAGGGCTGCAAAGACTCCTGCAGCGAGCATTTCAGGGAACACCATCTCCCCTGGGATCACACATGTATCCACCTGGGCTCTGGCCCATGCAACAGCCGCCACTTATTCGCTTATGCGAATTAGCAGCCACTTAAGAGGCACCCTATACAGCAAGAGAAGGCCAAGGAAATGGCTGCAGAAAGTAGCTGCCGTATCTTGGAGGTGCTCTGGGGAGCTCTAGGTTAGTGCAGCAATCGTGCTGTGCACCGCAGCCCAGTGCTACCAAACTCACACACACTGTGCACCTCTGCACCTGCACGCTCTTGTCCGCTGCACGTGGAGGTGGGCACGGCGAGGTTTGTACAGCAAGCTCTTCCTCCATGCTGGCCACGCGCCCTCCGTACCCTTCATCCTGTGGCCGGGCGCTGGTGTAATTAGCAACCCCAGCTGCCAGCCAGCTTTGATGAGAAGCCTCGGTTTTTGGTTGATGTGAAATGTATAATTTGGATGATGGAAATAGCCTCTACAAAGCACATGTGGTTGCTGTGTCCCAGTGACCCCTCCCGTCTTGCACAGGCTGCTCTGCTTTCAACACGGTTACTTCTCCAGCAGCTCTACAAAGGCTTTGGTGCCATCAAACAGATGACACAGCAGCAGCAACCAAATGAGAACTAACATTTGGCCACTACTAAATAAACTGTAGTTTTGTCCAGCAGAGGCTTGGGAGTGCTATGGCAGAGGAAGCACGAGGTGGAGATGAGAACTCAGGTGTGGAGACCAAAGACACACAAGGTCTCTGTAAGCCATCGTGCCTGGTGGAGCAGGGAGCTCGGGTTAGGCAGAGACGGCACAGGCTTCTCCACACAGGTCAGCAGTTCAAAGACAACAAGATCTGCAGAGGCTGAAAGTCCCTGCAACTCCCGCATCTTTCTTCCCAGCACAAACCAAGCTTGTGGATCTTCTCATGCCATTTTGTATAGGCCGTGTCCAGCTGAGGTGGCCAAACAGCTCAGGTTGATGTTTCTCTCACCAAAGGGATCCATGAAAACAGCAGAGAAACCTTTCTTCCCTCCCAAGCACCTCCTGTAACAACCAGAAAAAAGCCCCTCTCCCAGCCCTACCCACCAGCCCTAGCAGGGTGTGAAGTCTACTATCCTGAGCAAGTAGGACCCTGTCCCTTCTGGGTCCATCCCCACTGCAAGAGCCTCTCCCTTGAGGATCCAGGTTGTGGAAGGTACTGCTACCCCTGGAGAAAATTTCATCTGCCTGGATCACACCAGATGACAAGCAAAGAGGTCAGGACCAGAAGTTCAGAGTGTGTCCAGGCTCGTGCACCCCTAGCCACTGTTCTGCCGCTGTCACATATGAAGTGACAGAGCAGCCACCACCACTGTCATGCTGCTCCCTCCTCTGCACATCCCCAAGCTCCTGCCAGGACCCCTACCACACAGGCTGGCAAGGACGTGCCGGGTCATGGTTGGCTTGGTTAAGTAGGTATGACTCGACAGCACAACTCCCATGAACATGAGAAGTACAGACCCATGGAAGAAAAGCAATGTTTCAACAGGGCTAAGCTCCTGCCTTGTCCCCTCCAGGTGTTGTCCCCACCCGACGTTGGACAACCAGCCCTCAGTCCCCACCGCAGGAAGCCCAGCAGTCTGTACATCTTGGAAAAGTATCTATTTCATCAAATACACAGATCAAGGGGGTTCAGAGGACAGATTCAGCAGTTTGGCCCCTCATGGGCCAGCTGACCAAGCCTTCAGATGCTGCACACAGTCCAAAGGGATGCTCAACAGCTCCCAAGGTCAAGGTCAGCCCTGTGGCCCTGAAGCAGGACTTGACACAGGCTGGGGCTATGCAACCATGCCAGAAACCAAAGCATGTGCTGGGGACACTTCGTAACCCATGGTCTTCCTCAGCATGTGCATAAAATCCCTGTCCTGCAGGCAGGATCTCTGGTACTCCAGTAACCAGGAGTCACTCCCACATGAGCCAGTCCTGCACCCTTGGGGAAGCTGCAAGAATTTCTCTTTGAGGTGCTGAGGAAACCCCTATTTAAGAGCAGAGTGTCACAGAGGGGCACTGAGAACCCCCCAGGCACGCCAACACCAGTGCGTGGACATCTGTTAGTCCCATAAGTGACAAATCCTCCCGCACTCCTGCCCTGCTCCCATGGCATGTGGCATTACCCCGGCGTGAAGGCTGAGGACGGATGTCCATCAGACCAGCTGCTGACCAGCGAGGCCAGCTGAGCTCCCGCAGCCCCTGCTGCGAGGCCAGCCTCACATGTCCAGCCTGCTTATCCTCACGGTCTGCCTGCCCACGCCTTGAGCTCACTCTGTGGTTTTCCACGAGCTGCTCGCGCAGCCCCAGTATGCTCCAGCAGCTGGGGCAGACCCATGGTGAGGAGAGGATTGGGCAGGGCGCACACCCCCGTTGCTGCTCCCGTGGCCGTGCACAGCCAGGGAGCTGACGGCAATGGCCTGGGAAGCTCCATGCCTGTGTGCCAGCTCATACCAGCGCATGCTGTGCCGGAGCCCTGCACTGAAGCAGGGGCTGTGACACCCCGCTGGCTCCTGGAGGAGCAGGGTGTGCAGCAAGGAACGGGACACAGCAAGCACAGCTTTATGGGTGCCTGACTTTGGCATGTACTCCAACTCACTACCTCTGCAAACCCCCACCCCCAGCACCCAGACAGGGCAAATGTCTCCACTTTCTCCCCATGGCAGAGTTCTGCTTGCAGTGCAGCTAGGAGAATGCATCTCAAGCCTGCTCTCCATGTACCAGAGAAGCTCCTGGGCCCCTAAAAGTGGGTCCCAGGCAGGGAACTTGCAGGGGCTGGACACACCAGGGCTCCCAGCCCTGCCTGTACCACTGCTCACCCCCACCACCAACCACCACAGCTATAAACCTGGCTAGCTCAAGCACTGGGAGCACCAGCACTGGGCAGAGCTCGATTGCCACCTTCTCATGCCAGTCTGCCAGACCAGAACTCTTTGGAGCAGCAAACCCATCGCCGTCACTGCCCAGCCGAGCCCACTGAGCCAATGGACACTGCAGGGCAGGACGCAGGGGAGAGGGGGATTCAGCAGGAAGCAGAGGGCTCCCGAGGCTGCTGCAATTTCCTAGAGATCAGCACGCGGCCAAGAGGGAAACACGAGGGCTGGGACTGCCTGTACTGAGACCCAGTGCCATGGCCCATGATGGGGCACGTGGGTCCTGAGACCAGAGGCACGGCCAGTGCTGGGGGCCAGCGCCCATCGCTCTGACGAAAACCCACCGTGCACACAACGAGCTGTCGACCGCGCCGGCTTGGGGATCAAACCCATCGGGATAGCAAGGCGCAGGGAGCCACAGGCAGAAACTGGCTCGCAGGAACCCTGGAGGATCATCGCTGGAGGACCCTCCTCTGCCAGAGCCCAAGAGCTCAGAGGAGCTCTGGATCCGAAGGCTCCTGCCACACGGTGCAGGCAGCAGTGCAGACCCAGGCAGCGGCCAAGGTCAACCCCCGGGGCGAGCCTCCCCAATGGCGGGGAGCGGCTGCACCGTGCAGCTGGGTGAGCTCCGTTGCCTTTGGTGGGGTGAAGAGACACGGGGTGACCGAAAACACACATGGCGGAGGTCGGGCTTGACCACCCCCTGCCATTCCTCCTCGCGAGGAGGCTGTGGGCCGGCCCTTGGGCTGCCCCACAGCACCTCTCCCCTCAGCAGGGCTGACGGTGCCTTCGCCCTCAGCATCCCTCCTCCTTCTCCTCAGCACCAGGGACGCGGCTGCAGCCTCCAGCGGGTCCCCTCCCGGGGCAGCGGGACCCCCCCCGACACCTCCAGCGGCCCGGCGCCTGCCATTTCCCCGTCCCCTGGCTGCACTCACCCAGCATCTGGCTGAAGAGGAGCTGCTCCAGGTCGCCCAGCACCGTCACCACCAGCTCGGGGTCCACCTTCAGGTAGGGCTTCTCCTCAGCGCCCGCCGCCACCGCCGGCCCCTTCCCGCCCAGCAGCTCGTCGTCGCACTTGCCGCCTCCGCCGCCCCCGCCTGCCTCGGGGCCCTTGCTGAGGGGCTTCACCTCCGCGTAGGGCCCGCGGGGGATGCGGCTGGGCTTGCCGGCGGGCGGCGGCTTGGCGGGGCCGGCGGGGCGCGGCGGCAGCAGCGAGTGCTCGGAGCGGGACAGGCTCCGCGACATGGCGGGCGCCTCCCGGCCGCGGGGGCCGCCGCCGCCCCGGCCGCCCCCCCCCCCCCGCCGCCGCCCCCGCCGCCGCCGCCTTGGCCATGTCGTCGCTCCAGCGGGGCTCGTAGAGCTGCCGCTTCTTCTCGGCGTCGGTGAGGAAGGCCAGGTTGGTGAGCGACTTCTGCTTGCGCAGGTTGGAGCCGGCCGGCAGCCGCCCCTCCGCGCTGCTCGCCTTGAAGACGCGCAGCTCCGCGCCCCGCGGCCCCGCCGCCGCCGCCGCCGCCTTCGCCCGCTTCGGCATCACCGCGCCGCCGTCGGGGCCCCGCCGGTAGCCGCGCTCCTCCTCGCCCAGCTCCACGTCGGGAAGGCTCTTGAGGTTGCTCCCCAGCATCCCCGCGCTGCAACCATTTAACCCGCCGAGCGCTGCTGCTGCTGCTGCTGCTGCGGCGGCACCGAGGACACACCGAGCGAGACAGAGAGAGAAGCGCCGTCAGCGCCCGCCCCACCGGCGCGGGGCGGAGCGCGACGAGGACGAGGACGGGGGGAGAGGAACGGCACAGCCCCACCTCGCTGCTCCGCCGCCGGCGGGACACTGCGAACCAGCGGAATGTCAGGGGCAAACAAAAAGGGCCCGCCCTCCTCCGCGCCCGGCTGGCGTGGGCAGAGAGGGGGGCGGGGCGCGGCTCGCGCGCACGGCGGGGCGGGGCGGGGCGGGGGCACGCGCAGCGGCGGGGGCGCGCGGCGGGGCGGGAGCAGTGTCGCCCCCCGTGGGACCCCCCCCCCCGACACACAGCCCCCACACCCCCCCACACCCCACGGCACCCTGCGTGTGCAGCCCCCCCCTTCCCGGGGTCCTGCCTGCCGCCGGCCCCGCGCCCAGCCCGGCGCCGCACGCACCCGCGGTCCAAAACTTCCTTGTTTCAGCCCAAAGAGCGCAGGGGCGGCCGCAAGAAACTCCCCCCCCCCCCCCCCCCCCCCCGCGAGGGACACTGCGGCCCCCAAACCCAGCGGAGCCTCTCCAGGGGTCCGGGGGAAATAAAGGGGGGGGGAAGGGGGAAGAAGAGGGGGAGTGGGATCTGGTTATCATCATTTTTCATTAATTACTCGTCCCTCGGGAGGGGTGAATTAAGTCTATTTGGTGACCTCACGCGGGCTGCCATGGCAACCGCCAGAAAATATTGCATTAGAGCCCATCACTATGCTGCCTAGATAAGGAGCCGGGAGGACGGTGTGAGCCCCCCCATACAGCAGTGTGGCCGCCCTGGGTGATTCAGGGTTCATCCCCTGGTGATGCTGAGAAGCCCCAGAATAACTCAGCCTAGATGGGACAGCAGACGGTGGCCAAAAAAGCAGTGTTTTCCACCCAGAGGTGCTGCTGGGGTGGGATGGGTGCACAAGCTGCCCCACTGCAACCCGAAGCCGCTCTGGGTTTGGGGGGCTGTTACAGTCCTCCTTGAGCAATGAGGCTATTGCCTGGATGTAGGTCCTGCTGTGGGGGGAAAATCTAGGGGTGTCATGTCATTTTGGGGCTGGCAAGGTGACTCTTGGGGCCTCCCAATGTCCCCTGTCCTCTCTGGCTGGGCCCAACAGAGCCCTGGAAGGTGCCACAGGCTGGGGTGGAGGCGTGGGGCAAGGGAGAGGGTCCAGCCCTTTCCCCAGCACCAAATCGGCTCAGCCTCATCCCAAAACCTCCCCTGAGGCAAGCGGGGCAGCTGCACTGGGAGCGCGCCAGCCCAGCTCGCTCCCCTCCTGCTGTCTCCCAGAAAATCCTCCTGCTCACTGTTGGTTTCGATGCTTCCCAAACTGAGGCTCAGCGCTGAACCCTGTCACCCCTCTAGCTGCATGGCGGCAGTGCTGGAGCCCCACTGCAAAGCCAGGCTGTGCCGTGAGCCACCGCGGCTCTGACCGACTTCTGTCCCTTTGAATCACACGATGAAGCTCCGGGCTCTTTTTTTTTTTTTTTTTTTTTTTCCCATTCCCTGCACATCCCTGGAGTATCCCGCCATCCTCTGCTGCTGCTGCCCTGGCAACCGCCATCCCAGCATCCCCTCCAGCAGCTGCCCCCCCAAAGCAAGCTCCAGAGGGGACTGGGGGCTCCCCAACATCGCAGCAGAGAGCTTGTATTTGGGCTCATTTGGCCCCCCAAGAAAGGGGGTGTCCCCGCAGTGGGTGTGGGGAGACAGTGGTGCCGTGGCATGCACCTCCATGCCGGCTCTCTGATGACTTCTTGGAAGTGGGTCATTCCCGGAGCTCCCTGGGAAACTGGGAAGGAGCCAAGCGGGTGATGTCCCGGCAGCGTCCCCAGAGGGGACGGAGCCACTGGGGGGGACGCCGATGTGGCTTCTGTGCCCAGGTGAGGCTGTGCCACCGGTAGTTTTTTGGCCGTGGGGGTTAGCAGATGCGGCAGCTGTAGCCATGCCATTCCCAGGGGAGCTGGGGTACCTCCTGCGTGGGGGTTCCCCACCTCCACCCCACTGACCCCCAGCCAGAGCTCCTATTCTGGCACGGGGCCATGGGGGTCTGAGCTCCAGCATGATCCTCTGCCCCCCAGCACCATCCCAGCAGCCCTCCAGCCAGACGCCCCCAGCAAACGCCCCCAGACTCACTCAGGCCTCCAGTTTTGGGTTTGGGGTCGGGTTCAGGTCCCTCCTCAGGACCAGAGCACTTGTCACCTGGAGATGTGGCCTTCTCCTCCACCTGGTCCTCCTGCAGCCTGGGGGCAGAGCGGGGTGAGGGTGGGGGAACAGGGGGTGCATCGCCAACTGAGGACCCCCAGGAGATGGAGACATGGTGCCTTGGGCTCTGCCAGGGCTTGGGGACAATGCTCCCATGGCAGGAAGGTCTAAGGGCACTCCACTCCCCACTGAGACCACCCCTTGCCCCATACCGTCTCCCATGGGTACCCCAGGAGCCCACAGCACCTCAAACCCAGTGGAGTGGGAGCCTTCCTTTGGGGACAGAGCATGCGGACCGAACCCCACCATTCCCCATGGCCACCCCCGCCATGCCCACCTGCATCCCCTGGTCACCGTGTCTACCTATCCCCATGCCTCCCGGTAACCCCATGTCCCCAGGGACTCACCGGTACTGGAAGGGCGCCACGGTGGCAGTGATGGGATGGCTGTGTGGGGGACCTGAGGAGAAGGTGATGGCCCCCGACCCAAACAGAGACCCCCTGCCCTGCAAGCCACCATGGGACTCATCCCCCATCCCTGCTGTGGCCACCCCACTGCCCTTCCCAAGGGATGCCCCTGGTCGTACCCCACCCCTGCTTCGCGTGGGGGGGGCTTTGGGCAGCTCATTGGGCTCCCCCACCCTGCCTGCCCCTATCCTCCTGCTGCCCGCTGCCTCTGGCCACTTCCCAGGGGACACAAGGGGTCTTGCCAGGGCTTTCTGCCCCCCACGGAAGGGGACGCCATGGCTGCCCTCCCTGCCCTTGGCCAGCTCGTTGCCAGTGGCTCTGCCAGCATCTTTGGGCTTGAGGGTCTTGGGGCTGGGGGCCAGAGCTTTCCCTGGCCGGGGGGATGTAGCTCCATGGGGGGCAGGGGGCCCCAGGGTGCTCGGGGGGGCCACGGCATGCAGCTTGCTGTGGGCCACAGCACGGGGCACCGGGATGGCAGAGGCGTAGTGGCTGCGGCCAGCGGGGTTGACGTTGGCTGTCCCGTTCATCCTGATGAGGCAGCTGCCAGCAAGACTGTGGGGGGAGAGGAGGGTTGGACAGGGCCTGGCACGGTGAGGGGGTGGGCATGGGGGGCACCCACATCCCCTCAGCCACACCGGACTGTGGTCTTGGCCCCCACTGACCATAGGTACTCAGTGTCCCCATCCCAGGAGGAGGCCACTGCACCCACGCCCCAGGGTAAGGATGCACGTGATGTCCCCTGAGTGATCCACAGGGCCAGGGCACGTGTGACATCCTCCCCCAGGGACCCTGTGCAGCCCCGTCCCACCCCAGTCCCTACGGCAGGTTCCTGCAGCAAGGCTACGTGGGCACAGACCCTCACCAGGTAGGACTGCACCACCAGCAGGATGAGCCCCTCTTGGCCACCCAAAAGCTTATCGTGGTCCCCAAAACCACCTTCTGGTCAACCAAGACCATCTTCTCGACATCCAAGACCATCTCTCAGATACCCGAGGCCATCTCCTGGCCACCTAGGACCACCTTCCGGTGGCAGAAGGACCAGCTCTGTCACCTCATTCTTCAGGCCATTACTGATGTCTGAGTCCCATCTCTGCCCTCCTCGTCCCCAGCATTGCCCTACATGGTGCCAACAACCCCATCTCTCCACGTTCCTGCTCTCATCTTGCCTCACAGTGACTCTCCTTGGCCCCACCACCCAGATAGTGCCCTGCATCCCCTTGCCGTGGCATTTTGCTCTGTGCAGATGAGGATGGGGGCTCAGCGCACCACCCCATGCCACCCAAAGCACTCAGAGGCAGGCAGGGCCATCTTTGCCACCCCGGTGACAGGGACATCAGCACAGTCGCAGTGAGTGGAGAAGTTCATCTCTCCCACAGGCTTTGCCTGGGCAGGCAGAGCAGAGCTCAGCAAATCAGCCATGGAGCAAAGCACCATCTCTAACCACCTCCTGGCTGCAGCCCTCTGGGAAAAAAACCTCAAAACTCACAAAAAAAAAGGTTTTCTCCAGGGGGTGGAGTGGTCTCTAGAAAGATGAGGAGATGTAGCTCCATGGCTGCCTATGCCAACCTCTGCCCCCCTTGCTCTGCTACAGCCTCAGCAAACTGAAAGAAAAACAGACACCAGGTGCCACAAATCTCCCAAGATACACATTTTGCGGGTCGCTCCAGCGCAGCTCCACTCAGTCGCCTTGAAGGAAAACCTCTGGGGAGTGGAGCAGAAGCTTTTTGGGGACCCTGAACATCCTATGGGGGACCATCAGCTCCAGGTCAGCCACCCACAGTCCCCATCACCCCCGGAGGGGTTTTTCCCCTGGCGCTGGATTCAGGATGGGTGGGTGCCACGAGCACAAGGGGTTCTTTGTGCAGCCGCTCCAGCGAGCAAGTTTGGGGCTGTGTCGGAGCCAAATGAAGCCATTCCCAGCGGGCTGGGGGGATGCTGCTGCCCAGGTATGGGGCCACACACAAGCCGCTCTGTTTGCAGCCCGGGGCCAGCAGCCTGGCTGCCTTTCAAACCACCCAGCTGAGACAGAACTTCTCCAGAGCTGGAGAAGGTTTTTTGGCAAGCCATGAGGTGCAGGGCAGACGGCTCCCATCACCCGTTGCATCTCCTGGTGGAGGGTGTTGAATAAGCAAGGTCCAAAAATGCCCCAAACCGCCCCATTTTGCCTCTTCCCCAACCTACAGCTTCCCTGAGTCCTGCTCCCCCCAGGCCTTCGAGGGGCTGCAAGGACCAAGCTTTGCCTGACATCCCCCCACAGCGAGTCCCCCAGGGTGGCCGTGTCCCTGCCATGGGTAGAGCTTGAATAAACAGAACCAAATTCCCTTTTGCCAGACCCACATGAGCTGTATCATTTGATCAACAGATCTGTGGGTCACAGGGAGAAGGACTGATGCAGCAGACAAGACCTAAGAATCACAGCACTGACTCCAGTGCCAGCCAGGAGCTACAAAGGTCTTTTCAAGGCAATTTTAATGAAGGAGAGAAGGGAATTGAGACACACAGCTCTGGGCTTGGTCTCGCTGAAGCCTTTGGAATGGCCAGGGAGGTTTTCTCTCTCCCCACATCCCAGGTGAGATGTCTCACCATGGTCATGGCCCCGAGTCACAGCACTGGTGGATGGAGAAAGCCCTGGGACAAGGTGCTTGGGGGTGTCTGGGATTCACCTGTCCCTGAGCTGCTGTGTGGGGCGAGATGGAGACGGGCACTGGGGATCTGCTACCCCTGTGCTGGCAAACAGGTCTGGAACTGGGCCCAGGGGGCAACCCCAGCCCCAGTGGGGGGGCCCTGTGCTGGCACCAGCCTGCACCCAAGGGTGCTGTGGGGCAAGTGGCAGGCGCCAGGCAGGGCCCGTGTAAAGCTTTCCCTGCCCCCGTGGGATTTCCTTGCACCCACAGGTGTCACTCCTGGGAGCACGGTGGCCAGGGCTCAGCACCCAGCAGCAGCCAGGAGCTGGAGACCAGCACACCCCTGGGGGTGCAGTGCTCCCAACCCCACTTTGCAGTCCAACCTGCAGCAAATATCAGCAGCAACCAGCTCCCCCCAACCCTTCATTCCTTTCCCAGTTTGTGCCCCACAACCCACACTTACAAACCCTAATTCTGCACCCTTTTTCACCCTCTTTAACCCAACCTCTTGCGCCAGGAGTGCTGTGCCTGGGGGCAGAGCAGTTCGCAGCCTTGAGCTGCAAAAAACCTTGTGCAAATGCTGAAGGGGTCACCCTTCCTCCCCATAAGCTGGAGGATGCCCAGGATGGGGCTGAGAGCCAGCGAAGCTCCAGCCTCGCAGACACGAGTGGTTAAACCACCGGCCACTACTCACCTACTTCACCCTTGAGGTCCCTTGCACAAACGTCTCCAGCTCCAGGGGCTGCTGCTGGTGGGCTTTCTCCTAATGCAGAGGGAGATCATCTGCCACTGCATTCATAAAGGCAGTCTTGAACTCCTCTTCAACCATCTCAGAGGCCAAAAAAAAAAAAAAAAAAAAAGTCAGTACCCTCTGAGCATCATCAGCATGCAACACCCCTCCAGCCTTGCCTGATTACGGGGCATTTTTTTTTTTCCCAGTCTATTCACTTTGGATTTCTCTCTCACAGACACAACTTCCACTTCTCCTCTCTGATCCCACCAGCAGCCACTTTTCTGCAATGCTGCAGCTCCAGCAGAAGCCAAAGCTGCCATGTTAACCACAAAAGAATCAATCCTCCTCTTGTGCTTTCAGGGTTGAGGTTTTCCAGGACATGCCAACACCTACTGGGACCAAGGCTCCAGAGCTATCCCCTCTCTGCAGCACACACTTCAGGGGTGTCTGAGGACACCCATCACTTCGCTGCACCCAGCTAAGCATGGGTGACCCCTCCTCAGGCTTCACTCTGCTTTAGAGGCACCAGAGCTTCCCCAGGGCTGGGCAAAGGGAGATGCGTACGCAGCTCTGCTCGCCCAGGCTGTAACACCAGTCATCCCATCGTTTCATTAATGCACACAAACTAAAACCATTCCCAGGAGAAATTTGGCCCATTCTTCTTCCAGACAAATTCTTCATTTGCCTCCAGATTGATTTCTACCCCATTCAAACTCTGCCCCCAGGGATCAGGTCCCCCCGGCGTGTGCCCCACGTGCTGCGGTGACAGGGGAGTGGGCAAGCACCATGTCACACTGTGTCACGCTGGCATCCTGCCGCCGCTTTGCTGGGCTAAAGCAGGTTACAGCTTGACCTAGATAGACACAGGTGGCAATTCTGCAATTAGCTCAAAAGGGAAACGACTTTCTCCCTTAATGCAACCCAGCCACAGGACCTCTGTGTCCCCGGAACAGCTCTCGGATACAGGCTTCTGCTCACCCTCTGGGTAACATGAGTACCAGAAATTTGCATCTGATGCTTTCATTTTGGGACTTCCAGCTGTCAGATGGGTTTTTGGCCCTGTGCCCTCCCCACGTACCAGCCTGGGATCAGTGGGTCCCGTGGTGGTGGAGAGCAGCAAATACACACAAGGTATTTTAGCACGAGGGGCTATTTTGGAAAAGTCACAGCAGTGCTGCAGGCAGCAGAGCCCTGCCTGGGCACTGGGGCTGAGCCTCCCTGGGCAGCCGAAGACGCTCATCTCCTGGCTGGAGGGAGGATGCTCATCCCAGCTACCTCCAGAGCTCAGGTCTGGAGCACTGGGCCGGTATCTACTGACTCCAGAGCTGAGCTTGAGTTTTCCCTGACTTAAAGACCTTTAATCCCAGAGATGAGGTGGTTTCTGATCACTTTGGGTGATGCCAAACACAGAGACATGAGTGTTCACATCGAAGGAAAATGAAACAGCCTTGGCCGAGGCATGTCCTTCATCCCAGGACAAACACAACCCAACACATCCCTGAAGGCATCTCCTTCAAAGTGGCATCTGTTGTGCTCAGAGCTCAAGCTACTTCTTCAGCCTGGTGTCCAAATGCATCTCACATGTGCGATTTTGGCAGTCAGAAATTAATACAGGGACCTGGGGCCCAAGCCTCATTTCATGCCCCTGTTTTGCATGTGAGGGGTCACTGGAGCATCAAATCAGACCCACTTTGGAGACATCCATCACCTGAGCAGAGTAGGGAACAGCCGCTCCCATGGCTTTGGGCCCTCCCGGCTCCACAGGGCTGCGCCGCTCCCAACCCCGCGCTGGGGCTACACTGAGCGACACAACCTCCCAGCTCCTCCACGATGCCTTGGAAGGATCCAGCCTCTGGCTCTCCCATGGTTTCGAGAGAACAGCTAATGCCTCTGCAAGCATTTCATTCTGCTCCTGAAATGTTTTGGGGTGTCTTTTATAAACCAGATAATACTCGCTTTTCTCTTATCTCTCATAGCTGACAGATCCCTGCTGGGGATGAAAGTCTGCCCCGCACCCCTAGGATAATTATGGCAGGAGTCTGAGCATGAACACTTAGTGATGCAAAAAGGTATTAAACCCTTCAGCCTCTGTTGGCGTCTTGCTGCAGCTCCATGCCTCGGTTTCCCCACCCTGACATGGCCTCTGCTAGGGGTGAGGGAGCTGAAACCAGGCTGGTAAACAGGAATCAAGGAAGACAGACACTTCCCTGGGTGTGTGGGCCTGCAGAGCAGCTCTGTAAATTGGGAGCCATCCTGGAGACACCCAAGGGTTCAGCAGCATGGGGAGGGCTGTGGCAGAGCTGGCCATGCCGGATGTCCCTGGGAAAATGCTTGGGGGCTGCAAAGCATCCTCAGTGTTTAAGGGTGAGGATAGAAGGGGGCAGCCCAGGCATGAACCTCGGGGTGTGAACGGCCTGAGAAAGAGACCATGTCAAGGGACAGATCCTGGTGCTGTGCCGGCTGCCCCTCGAAGCTGCCATGTGCACCTCACAGCCCTGCACAGGATCCGGCCCCGAACTGCCTTCAGGGATGGCTGTGCTCCAGCCTCCTCCTCCTCGGCACACTCGGAAAGGATGACAAAGAAAAGGCTCCTTGTGGCACAAGGGACATAAAACTTTCCTAAGAGAAACAGAAGGAGCAGGGGCAGAAAGGAGCCTTCAGAGGACAACAAGCTGCCGATTCAGCCGCCAGCCCCGTCCCTCAGTCTCCCACACCCTGGTCAGGACCTGGCCTGCCTGCCAGCTGGTGTCACCGCCTGGGACATTGCCACCACCCTCATTGCCGGGGCCTCAGGCTGGGTCCTTCCCCTGGGAGGTCTCTCTGCTTCCCTCTCCCTGCCCCTCCAGAGAGGCAATTCCGGGGGTGGCTGGTTCGACGGCCCCGGCTGGGTGCAGGCAGGTGGTTCTCCTGGGTACAGGCAGTAGATCATCAAGCGGGTGGGAGAGGAGGCCGGGGCAGCCCCAGAGCTGCCTGCCCTGGCTGGCTGTTTCCCCACAGCACAATGACGGGGGCTCTGGGAGCTGCTGAGGGATGAGCTGTGGGCTGGGGCAGGCAGAGAAGGACAGAAACCGCCTGTTGTCAGAGCAGAGATGCTCAGCCCCATAGCCACAGCACTAATCTCTGCTTTAGCCACTCCATGGTAATCCCATTAAGCATTTAGCCCACTTTAATAAAACCTCGCTCTGAGAAAAGTTTAGCTCTCAGCTAGACCAACCACAGCAGCCTCTGCCACCAAAAGCCCCGTATGCAGCAGCGAAATTGAGCTCTGCCCAGCCTGAGCTTTGCCTGGCACTAATCCTGCTGTGAGGATGGACACTCTGGGGCTGGGACGGACCCCGGGAGCCATGCAAGAGTCTGTGCAAGACTTTGTGCAAGAAGCCCTGATGCTGAACGCCTCTCCCCAGCCACAGCATCTGGGGACATCCCTGTTCCTGATGCCAGGGGCCACATGTTGTCTGGTTTTCCCATGGCCCTTTCATGTCCCACCATCCCGTCCCCACCTCGCGGGTCTTTCCCCGAGGCTGTTACTGCCTGTGACATCCCCCGAGCCGGGGCAACGGGGGACCCAGCGGCGGAGGCGGCTCGGGGCAGGGACGTCCCCTCCGCCGGGGGACATCGGGGCTGCCCGGTGCCGGCTCGGGATGGGGGATCCAGCCCCGACCCCCGGCCCCAACCCGCTGGGGCAGCTGGCAGGGCTGGGGGTGCGGCGGGCAGCGGGGGGCAGCGGGGGCTCGGGGGGGCTCGGGGGGGCTCGGGGGGGCTCGGGGGACAGCCCCGGCCCCGCCGCGCCGGGGACGTTCAGGAGGTGCCGGTGCTGGACAGCTCCGCCCCGCGGCCCCGGCCCCGCCCCCCCGGGCCTGTTCCCCCCCCCCCGCCGGTGTCCCCGTGTCCCCCCCCCCCCCCGGTACCGCCTCCCCTGGCCGGTGCCGCCTCCCGAGACCGCTGCCGCCTTCCCGGGCCAGTATGACCGGTACCGCCTCCCCCACCCACTGCCCCCCAAACTGGGCCGGTCCCTCCTCCTGGAGCCGGTGTCCGTCGTCTTCCCCCCCCCCCCCCCCAAGCCGGTGTCACCCCCCCGGGCCGGCACTGCCCGCACCCTGCCCATGGCCACTGGTGGCTGTTCCTTTTGGGCCACCGCTGCCCACCCGGGGCCAGCAGAGCAAGTCCCCAGGGACCAGTTCAGCTTGTCCCCAGGGTCACACCGGCCCCCCCCATCCTGCGGCGGCCTGTCTGGGGCTGGGACCATCTGTCCAGAGCCTGGTGCCATCTGTCCCCCCCCCACACAGCGCTGCCTGGCATCTCTGTGTCCTCAGCACCCTTGGGGACCAAGATCAGGCTGCCCTGCCATGGGGTGACCCCCCCACTGAACCTCCTCCAGATGTCCCCGAGGAAAAGATCTGCCTGGGGAGGGGGGTTTGGGCTGTGCTCGGAGGGGTCTCACGCTCTGCCTGGCCTCCCCGCTGCCCCCGTGCCGCCCAGGGTTGGCTCCTCCTGGTACACGAGCTGCTGAGTACCACAGAGCCCGGGGTTGCTTTGGCACCCAGCACTGTGGCCAAAAAGCAACATCTCCCACTGCACCTCCCAAGGGTTTCAAAACCTCCCCCAAACCTCCCCAGGCCCTCAGCGCTGCCGTGGGGTCAAGGACCCCCCAGCACAGCACCCTGGCTGGGTCAAGCCCTCGGCCAGGAGCCGTCCCACAGCCCAGGTGCAGGTGCTCAGACGGGTGACATTCGGATTAAGTTCTGTCTGGGCCAAAACTCTCCAAAGCCAAACGCATCATTTATTTAGCCCCATGTTCCTGCCGCATCACGGACCTGGCCCTTTGCTCCTGGGATTTTTGAGCAAGAGCAGATGTCACAGTGTCTGCGTTTGCCTCCACTATGCAGAAACAGCCCCCTCCCCAGTCCTCAATGCTTGAAACTTGGAAGCCCCCACGCATTTTGGCTTTGCTGAGGGGGGTGGTGAAGAGAGGCAGCTGCGCAGCGGGGCTGAAAAATGCATTAACTCAGCAGACACTGTCGTGTTCACACGCGTACGTGTGCGGTGTGATGGTCGGGGGGGGCAGCTGAGCTTGTCTTCTCCCCTCCCAGCATGGGCAGTGCAACCCCGGCATCCCCAGCGCTCACTGATGAGACCCTCACTGCCTGTCCACTCCTTCCAACGTTCAGCTTTCCAAGACTGCAGCGGGCAAAGTGGGGTCTTGAGGCTACACAAAAAAGTCATTTTTTTCCCCTCAAAGCAGGATAAGGATTTAAAAAACACTGCAGGAAGCGTGAGGTGGGTAACACAGGGGACACAGCGAAGGGTTGGCTATAACCTGGTCCAAAGACAGAGCTTTAACCTCGAGAGCAGAGACACAGAACCTGGGTTGGGGATGTGCCATCACTGTGTCCCTCCCTGCAAAGCAGCTGAGCTCCAAACTGGGGCATTTTTAGATGCCAAATCTGCTTTGGGCAACGGACCAGGTGAGGGAAAGTCAACTCATGGTTCCAATCTCAAGTGAACCCCCACCCAGGCCCCCCTGGTATGGACCATACCCACTAATGAGCAAAACTCCCCTGTCTGGTCTTACCTGGGCAAGTGGGACAAATCTCCCTCAGCCCAATAATCCCTCATGTAATAAATAAATCCTTTGCTCTTGCAGCCAGGAGCCTTCCCAGCAGCGTTCACCCCGAGAGCCCCGCACGCCCAGTTGCACCCCAAGGGGGTTTCCTTTGGGACAACTGGGTATTTGCAATGGAAAGCAAAAGCCATGGGGAGCCCGTAGTGAGATGAGTGGATTTTGCAGCGAGCTGTGGCTGCTGGCAAACACTTCCCTGCTCAGGACTTGCGGAGGTGCAGCAGTACCCACTCCAAGTGTGAGGCGGTGAGCTTCCCGCCCACCACCACTGCCACACTCAAGTGTCACACGGCCCGGAGGGAGCCACATCCCCTGGGGCTTATCAGAACAACCCTACCAGTGTCCCTGATGCCAATGTCCCCAAAAAGCTGAGGACTGCCACTTACACGTGTGGCTGGAAGAGGCAGGCAGGGGCTGGCAATGACCCCAGGACCCTCCCATCAGCGCCAGAGTGGGTGGCAGCTCCGGTCCCACCACCCTCTTACACCTGAAATTAAACCTCCCGCCTCCAAGGGATATAGCTAATGGAGCCACCGTGGGTCCATCACACCTGGAGGGTGCCTGGCTTTCCTGGAGGGGAGCCCAAGCATGCCTCGAGCATCCCTCGAGTATCACTTGAGCATCCCACCTGCCCACAGCGAGCAGCCCACGCCAGGATGGCAGCACTCCTGCCTTCCCCCTCGCCCACCTTACGCCCTGGGACAGACACCCCAGCAGGAGCCAAGTCCCCAGGGGCCAGCAGTGAGGGAGGGCACAGAGGCCAGCAGGACGAGGGTCAGGGGGGGAGAGGGAAGAGGTGGAGGAGAAACCGTGATTTATCACCCAGCCCTGAGCAGGGGGAGTTTCCGCTGCCGGAGGTGACGCTGCTTGGCCGCATCCGCTCAGGCCCCACGGTCATGTCCGGTGGGAGCTGAGGATGAGGATGGGGGATGAGCACAAACCCTGCTCCTCCACCTCCCACCTCTGCTCCTCCATGGGAGTGGGAGAACCCAGGGAAACCAGGCAGATACTCGGAGGCATTAACTTGAGCCCTGGCTCCCACCCCAAACCCACTCCCTGCAGCACAGTCAAGACCTTTGGAGCCCAATTCCCACGTCCCAGCAGTGAGAGGATGCCAGGTCACCAGTCCCACCACCCCAGCCAGCCCTGGGTGGCTTGTCCCCACCTGTCCCCTCCCCATGCAATGCCTTGGGGCACCCCAGCCCCTGGTGCCCTCAGGAGAGCACCAGGGCTCCTGGCTTCGTCCCCTCCATGGCCAAATCCTGCCCCGGTGCACAGCTGGGGTGAAAGGCAGCTCCCGCAGCAGGAGCCTGGCTGAGTCCAGCCCCAACCACAGGAGCCACAGCGTAAATCACAGCAGGTCAAAGCTCCGGTGGGTGCTGGAGGATGTTCCCACGTTTACACGGGGAGGCGGTGACTGCAGGTAAGAGCAGGAGCCAGGGTGGGACCAGGACATTCTGCTGAGCCTTTCAGGGACGGGGGTTTGCAGGATGCAACCCTGCGATGGAGCAATATGCTGACATTGCAGGTGCTCACAGGACCCCCGCACTGAGATGGGGTGACCCAGAGCCCCCCTCAAAACTGTGCCAGGGGACAGCGATGATGTTGCAGGTGATTCAGGGGCTGTGCTAGGATGGGGCATTGATCGCACAAGCTCGGAGCACTGTGGGGGGGACCAAGTCCCACAGCCAGAGGCAGCTTCACCCCAGCTCCTGCCCCTACATATCCACCAACCCCTTGGGACAGAGCGAAGCTCTAAACCGCCCCTTGTGCTGCTCATCCGGGGCCTCTCCTCCCAGTTAACAAAACCCCTGCTTTCTCCAATTATCATCACTTCCTGTGATGGTGGCGGTGGGTGCTGAGTGCCAGGGGCTCCTCCAGCCCCTCCTCCCCCAAGCATCCCCCTAATCCAGGCAGTTAACCCAGCAGCAGTGCCTGATATCCATGATGCTGCCCAGACCCTGCAGCATGGCCGGCACAAAGCTCGTTAGAGGTCACTTGTTAAGGAGCAGGGCTCGGGCCGTGCCAGCAAAGGCACTGGGGAAGTCACTGGAGCCCACTGGGACAGGTTGGTGGCTGATCTGTCACCCGGAAGGATTTGAGGAGGACCCACGTGTGTTGGCAATTTGCCACCTGCCTGCATCCTGTGCCTCAGTTTCCCCATGGACTGCCATCAGCCTCATCACCACCTGCAGCCAGCGAGTCCCAGCTCCCCAGAGTGTGTTTCTGGGGGCTGGCACTCCTCTGGGCTTGGTTAGGGCTTGGGGGCTAACCCTGCACAGTGGGGACAGGCTGGTGACATGAGCTGGGGGGCTTCCCTGGGGACACACGGGATGGCAGGCAGAGCCAGAGTGGTCCCAGCTACCTCATCCCTAGGGACCCAGCCCTGTCACTGCCTGGTGTTCCCCCTGCATGCAGCACAGAGGGTGCTGTCCCCAGCTGTCACCCAAAGGACATTCCAGCCAGGTGACCGGGGACTGTCACCCATCTGCCAGCAGCATGGTGGAGAGGGGTCACCATGGTGGTGGGAACAGATGCTGAGGACTCCCATCCCAGGCTGGTGTTCCCATCTCAGGCTGATGTCCCCATCTTATGTTGGTGTCCCCATCCCATGCTGGTGTCCTCATCCCAGGCTGACATCCCCATCCCAGGACCACGTCTCCGTCCCAGGCTGATGTCCCCCTGTCATTTTGTTGGTGTTGGAGCTTGTCAGACCTCCCCAGTGAGCGAGTGCAGGTGAGGGGATGTCTCACTAGGCCAGTGAGCAAAAGTGGCTCTGGGAGGATCACAGCCTCCCCACAGCACCCACTCCAGCCCTCGCAGCCCCACACGGATCCTGGTCCAGCCAGGAAAGGCCCCAGGGTGTTTGCTTGCTGGGTGCTGAACCCGGTGGCACCGGGGAGAGGACAGGGTGCCTGAGCGCGGTGGCACCACGTCCCGTCCCCACGACAGCCCCAGCTGGGCCCAGCAACAGTTGGTGGCTCAGCCTGGGGGGCCCCGGGGGCTGCAGTGGCCCCACCGGGGTCAGGGGTGCAGCCAGCCCCAGGGTCAGTGGGGGTCGCCTGGCCCCTCTGCCTGTGGCTTAGGCCCTGCATCCCCCCCCCCCGGCCGGGGCCCTGCTGCCGTCTGCAGCCGGAAACACCTTTTTCCTGTCCGTGGGGCTGCGGCGTAGAGGGTGGGGGGTCGGCAGGAAAAAACCTCCTCGGTGGGTTATTTATAACCTGCTGCCGGTGGGGCTGGCTGGATCACCCTGCAGCACCCCCACTTGCACCCCACCCCTGCCCCAGGCCTTGCCAGACCCATACCTGACCCCATCCCTGTCTCTGTCCCTGAACACATCCCCATCCCTGTCTCCATTCCCATCCTCCCCCCCATCCCCATCCCTCTCCCTGACCCCATCCCTCTCCCTGCACACCAAGATTCAGCCTGGAGACCCCCCTTAGCAGAAGGAGGAGACCCAAATCCTGCCTCGGGGACATCATTCCCCTCCTAACCAACACCAGAGCTCACCTAGCACCACGCTCCCCATCTCACCCTGTCTCCCCCCATTCAGACCCCCCCAGCCCCTTGGGAACTGGTTCCCTGTGCTGGGGACACGTGGCAGGGCCGGATCCAGCCCATGTCCATGTCCCAGGAGCCTTTTGCCCCATCCCATCCCGGGAAAAACATTGGGGGTAAACTGAGGCATGGGGCTGGCAGGGCGAGGAGGGCACCAGGGCGTGTGCAGGCTGTGAACTGGATGAGGCCAAGGCCGTGGGGAGCTGACGGGGGCATGTGCAGGCAGAGCAGGCAGAGCAGGCAGCTCTTGCCCACTCGCAGAGGCTGCGGGCAGCCCTGCACCCCCACGGCACGGCATGGGCAGTTACTCAGCGCCTGCAAAATGACTCAGCCAGGATCCGGCCAGGCCAGCTGGGATTTCCTGACTCAGCTCCCCCAGCTGCAAATCTAAGGGGGGGGGGGGGGGGGGGGGAGTGTCCAACCCCACCTTTCAATAACACAGACACTGACACAGAGTGCCAGGGGGTGCAGGGCACTCCCCCTAACCCTGTGACCTGCTCTGGGAGCACCCAGATGCTCTCTGGCACCGGGGGTGGCAGCATGAGCAGCTCCTGCAAAGCCCTGGGGGGGTGCAGGCAGCACCCCAGCAACCGTGGGCAAACTCTGCCTGCGTGGGGGGCACACACCCGCCGGCTCCAGGCTGGCTGGGGCATCCGGCAGGGACGGCTGTGGGACCAGCAGCCCGGCACACCCAGGCTCCCTGGCTTTCCTCCCAGTTGTTTTTTTCCTAGGTGAAATCCAGGAAAACAGGAGTCCCAGCACATGTACGCTGCAGGTCTGCATCGTTTCCCTCCCGGAGGGTGATGGCACGTTAATGTCCCAGGGGGGACCTGGCCCATGCCGAAGTCACCTCTGCTTTCCCCCTGCGCCTTGCCATCCTGGTCTGGCCGCCGCGCTGAGCAGAGCCTGGCTGCGACACTGCCATCTCCACAGGAGCCATCCCACACAGGGCCTGGGGTGCTCCACCAGCCCGGCCAGTGAGCCCCTGGGTGGGGTGGCCCAGGTGGCCAAGCATCCCCGGGGTGCTGGAGCATCCCCAAGGTGCTGGAGCATCCCCGGGGTGGCCAAACACCCAACAGGGAGAAGCCATCGGGCCCCAGGCCACTTTGCTGGTGGTGAAAACAGCACTATAAAAAAAGTCAAAGTCCCCACTGCCCTCTCTGCTGTGTACAGGGACACAGAGCATCCGGAGCCGCACAGCCCTGGGCACCCATCTAGGGAGCACCCATGGGTGCCCATGGCCCCGCAGCACCTTCCTGTGACCAAAATGAGGGCAGACACCACGAGCTGCTCTGCCTGCGGAGAGGAGATGTGGGGCAGCACGACACATGTTTTCCCGCTCCAGGCCAGCTCTCTGGAGAAGCGTCACCCATTTCAGCAGCCCCCGTGCCTCAGTTTCCCCCTCTCGCCCTGTGCTGGCACTGACGTCCTCCCTGGGGCTGGTTTGGGGAGGGAAGGCAGGAGCAGGCAGCACCGCGGCAGCTTCCTGCAGCCCCTCCTCTGCCACGGCCGGGGATGGGGGGTGTCCAGGGGACCCCGGGGGGGGCACTGGGACACAGGGACTTGCCACACCACTCCTGGGGCCACTCATGCTGAGGCTGCCGCTGCTGAAACAAGGTCCCGTGGAGAAGTGGGGACATTGGGGCAGAGGGGAGGGGACACGGGGGGGCTGTCCTGAGTGTCAGGGGTGCCAGCCCCCACAGCCATTGCTTGTCACCCACAGTCCCTGCCAGGATGTCCCCCCGTGTCACTGCTGGTCCCCGCAGCATGACCCCCTCACCTCAGTCCCCACCGGGGTGCCCCCCCCATCATCTGCCGTCTCCATCAGGGTGCCCCCCCGTGTCTCTCCGATCCCGACGGCGTGTCCCCCGCCACTGCCAGTCCCCACCAGCATGTCCCCTTCTCACCACCGCTCCCCGCAGGATTGTCCCCCATCACCCCGGCTCCACCGGGGCGTCCCCCATGTCCACCCGCGGTCCCCGGCGTGGTGTCCCCCGCCATTCGCTGTTCTCACCGAGGTGTACCCTGTGCCTTCCAGGTCCCCGCAGGCTGCTCCCCATCACTCGCGGTCCCCGGCGGGGTGTCCCCCCCCCCCCGGGCTGTCCCCCACTGCCCCCGCTCCCCGGTGTCCCCGCCGGCTCGGCACTCACCGCGGGCAGCGCCCGGTGCCGCCGCCGGGCTGGGAGCGGCGGAGCGGCCGCGGGACCGGGCTCCGGGCCGGGGGAGGGGTGGCGCAGGGCCGTGCCCGCCCCCGGCCCGGAGAGGCGGCTGCGGGGCCGCCCCCGCCCCGCTCGGTCCCTCCGGGGCTCGGCTCGCCTGGAGCCGGTGGCGAAGCCAGAGCCAGGGATCCCCCGCGGACCCCGCCAGCCCCACGGATCCCCCCACGGATGCCTCCCGATATCCCTCCCCGACCCACCCCAAGGACCCTCACCCGCCCCCCCACTCCCCCTCCCCGGATCCTCTCCCCGTAGATGCCCACACGGACCCTCCCGTGGAGCCCCTCCCGGATTCCCCACGGGCCCTTCTGCCCCATGGACGCCCCCCATAGATTCCCTTCACCCAAGGAATCTATGGGGGGGAGCAAAGATTCCCTTGACCCACGGGTTCCCCCCCATAGATTCCCTTCACCCACGGATTCTTGACCACGGAATCTATGGGGGGGGGCATAGATTCCCTTGACCCACGGACGCCCCCCCCCCCTAGATTGCCCTGACCCGTGGACAACCCCCCATAGATTCCCTTGACGCACGGAATCTAGGGGGGGGGGGGGGCAAAGATTCCCTTGACCCACGGATTCCCCCCCTTTCCCCCCCCGGATCCCCTCCTCATGGATCCCGATACAGACCCCTCCGTGGAGCCCCTCCCGGATTCCCCATGGGCCTCTCTGCCTCATGGACCGCTCCCCCATAGATTCCCTTCGCCCACGGATTCCTGACCACGGAATCTATGGGGGGGGGGCCATAGATTCCCCCTGACCCACGGACACTCCCCCAGAGATTCCCTTGACCCACGGATCGCCCCCCATCCGCCGTGCGTTCCCCCCATTATCCCTTCCCCCATGGATCCCGCCCCTCTCGCCCCGCCCCCTTCCGCCGCGGCCCCGCCCCCCGCAGCTGCCCCGCCCCCCGCAGCTGCCCCGCCCCCCGCAGCTGCCCCGCCCCCCGCAGCTGCCCCGCCCCCCGCAGCTGCCCCGCCCCCAGCAGCGGCCCCGCCCCCCGCAGCTGCCCCGCCCATCGCCCCAGCGCAGCCCCTCGAGCGGGGCCGGGGGTTGCGGGGTGGGGGTCACGGACCCTCCCCGCCCACGGAGCGCCCGTGGGTGAGCAGCCGGGCACCCCGCACCCCGCGGCCTGACCCCCCGGCATGCCGGCTCGCTGCCGAGCGGGCGGCGCGGGGGCAGGAGCCCTGCACGGACACGCGAGGCCGGGCCGCCCGCCGCGGGTCCTTCCCCTGCTTGGACACCCCGCCGGTGAAATTCACCCCTCCAGGCACCGTGAAGGTAAGCGGGGCCCCCCAGGGACAGCCTGGCCCGGCGGGTCCCCCTCACACTGGGAGCACAAAGCGCCCTGCGAGCTCACGCAGTTGGCTCGTGGGGGAGTTGCCGGCCCCGCTGTGGGGTTCACCGGAGTGTTGGGGTGTCCCATCAGCGACACCACCCAGGGCCTTGCGGGGGCGATGCTTGTCACGCTCGCTTCGAATCCCCTGCCACCGGCCTCCAGCGGGGAAGGCACTGAGAAATCATTCATTTACACTCCTGTTTTTCTCCTACATTCCCCGTTAGGCGAATGCAAGCAGACACCAGTGGTCGTCTTGCTCGTCCCCAGCCGTGCGCGCTGGGCGCTGCTTGGTGCCCGTTTGCCAGCGGGTGCACGCGCCGGCTGTGCTGCTGAAAGCTCTTCTCTCCCAGGGGGACCTGGCTGAAGTACTCGGTGCTTGATGACAAAGCATCAGCTAACCGTTGGGGTCAGCTCAGTGTTTGAACCTCTCTGCTCTCCTCATGCTGCTGCATTTGTCTTAAGTAATTCCTCTAATTATCACAGAAAACCCTGTTTTTGCCCCAGAGCGGTCCGAGGGTGGTGGGCTGCTTGCTCTTGGGAGGGCAGCAGGGAGGAGCTGAGTCTGGGGGGGTGCAGCTCGAGGAAGGCGTGGTGCCGGGCGGCACTGGGTGGCAGTGCCGGGGCTGCCGGGCTGCAAGGATTACCCTCTGCTCCCCACGTTTAGTACAAAACCAGGAGTGAACAGTTCAAATTCCCTCCTTGCATGTGGGTGGTGACACGGTGGCACCGGGCTGCTTCGGCGTGCTGGGCTGCCACTTAGTGCTGTGACCCCAAACCAAGGCTGGTGGCATGTGGTGGCATCAGCTGATGACGTGGGAATTTAGGTTTCTTCGCCTTTGCTCTAATTTCTGCCCTTAAAGCTTCAGCTCCAGTAGGTGAGTGTGAGGCTTGGCTGTACCAAGAAAACCCCACAGCAATGCGGGGTCTTGCCCCACATTCGGAAGAGGAGAGACCAGATCAGTCTCCCAGGGGTCTGTCCGGGCCAGCACATGAGCCACAGGTTCTACTTTCACTTGAGAATGGGAAAAATGAGGAGTTGTGTAAGAAACGGGAAGTGAGCCAGCGCCTGAAGGAGTTGCACCCTCTGCCTTTTCAGCACTCGCAGCTCCAGCATTTCTTTATCTCACTGGCACCTCGCAGGGTTGCACCCAGCCAGTGTTTGTGCCCAGGTGCTGAGCGATGCTGCTGTGGGGATGCAGCTGTGATCCTGAGCTGGAGCTGGAGCTCAGGGCATCACTGCTCTGCTCTGCGCCCCAAAACCTGCAGAGCCCACGGACCTGGCCCCCTTCAGCGTGCTGGGACGTGCTTGCTGTCAGACACCACGATGTCCCCGGCTGGGTTAGCCCACTCTGTACGTTAACGCATCTAATAGACATTTTCATCTACGTGTCCAGGTCCCCGAGGGTTTCACGTCTGTCATGAGTGCCACGAGCTGGGAGAAGCAGAGGGATAACACCTTTGTCTTCGAGATGTCCCATCTGATCCCCTCCTGCCTGATCGCTCTGGCTGTCGGGGACACTGTGTCTGCTGATGTTGGCCCAGGGTAAGTGGCTCTGGCGGAGGCCGAGGGTTAAGCCCTGGCTGTGGGAGCTGCCTGTCCCTGCACCACTGGGCCCCGGGGAGCAGGCAGGCACAGAGACACCAGCCGTGAGCGGGACCCGGACCGTCCTGCGTCTGCTGTGCACGTGGTGCTGCGTCATCAGCCCACAGACTGCCGGGTGAGGGTGCTTCAAGAGCGAGGAGGAGCTGCGGTGCCGGGTCCCCTCCCCTTCGAGAGTGTCCCTGGGATGTGAATGGGAGCAGTGGGTCCCCGTTCTCGAGGGTCTCGCGTCTCTTCCCAAGGCTGGTGCTTTGTTCGGGTTCCCAGCTGTCATGTGGCCACGTAAAAGCCCTTTGACATTCTGACAAGGAAAGAAATACAGCAATATGCACTATCAGTCTCATTAGCTTCCTTTATCAGCGGGCTTTTATTTTGCTGTGGAATAAACACTTGCTGTGTTTGTCTGATGAAGCATTAGGGTAAAAGTCTGCTAATGGTTAAAACCTCCTCTTCCGTGTACCTGGCCAGGAGCCGTGTCTGGGCCGAGCCCTGCCTGATCGAGGCTGCAAAGAAGGAGTACGACGGGGTGACTGAGGAGTTCTGGCAGTTGGAGAGAAGCTCTTTGGACCTTATGTCTGGGGCAGGAATGGCCCCCTGTTTCTGAAGGACCTTGTTGCCCAGGGCTGGGGAGGGAGCATCCCTCTGTCCCCAGCCACATCTGCAGGAGGAGGTGGGTCTGACCCCAGCCGTCTGCTCTTCCCTGGCAGGCACGACATCCTCTTCACGCCGCCCTCCTGCCCCTCCGGCGGGATGGAGACCCCCCGCCTCGCCTTCCTGACGCCCTGCCTGCTGGCCGGGGACCGTTCCCTCGTGGACGTCATTGGGATCTCCCACAGCTGGTTTGGCAACCTGGTCACCCACGCCGCGTGGGGCGAGTTTCGGCTGAGCGAGGGCTTCACCGTGTACGCCCGGAGCCGCGTTTCCACCGAGGCCTGTGGTGCGTGGCCGGGCCTGGCTGCGGAGCGCCGAGTCCCCGTGTGGGTCGGGGGTCCGTGCACTGCGGCTCAGCACATCCCCGTGAGCGCTGCGTGCGGGGCCGGAGCCTGCGCCGCATCTTGGAAGAGGTGAAGAGCAGCAGCCTGTAGTTCCCTGGGGGGGTTTGTGTTAGCAACAGAACCACCCTCGCTCTTGGAGGTGGCTGGAGCCCCTGCAGCCCTGTGCACGGAGGCGGGTGCTGCCGTCTTGGCCCAGCCTCACCTTCTCTTGCTCCCGCAGCTTCCTTGGGGGGCTGACACCAGCCACCCCGAGCTCCCCCCCCGGGAAACACGGTCACAGCCATGGCTCCTGGTGCCATTTGCTGCATCCAGACAAATTTAAATGGTTCTAAAAGCCTCTTGCTAACTGAGGGCTGGGATGCTGCACCTCCCTGAAACTCTGCCATCCCAATGCCTTGTTTATCAGTTTCCTCCTTTCCCAGCTCATAAGCTAACACCTTTTCCCACCTGTAGCAGCACAGAAAGTGCACAGGGGTCTGTTTGGGGTCTCAGAATGCCTGCTGCTTGTCTCTGCCCAGGTTTGGCGTACACCTGCGACAGGAAGGGCCCTCCTGTGCCAGCACATGGACAGCATGGGGAGCACCATCCGCTCAACAAGCTGCGGGTGGTCATCGAGCCAGGTCTGTGGGGCAACCCCCGTCCTCCCACAACCAGCTGTGGGGAGCGGGGGAAAGTGAGGTGTAGTGGCGTGGGGGGAAGCTCTGCTGCTGGGGTCTTTCATGGCTTGCAATAAAACCAGTGCTGGTGGTGGGACCTGAGTGAGGTGATGGCTCCAGGAGGGATGTGACAGGCTTGCACCCAGCACAGCAGAAATCTTGGTGCATGCGATGGCCGTTTTGTTTTGCAGATGGGCAGATTTCTGAGGGTTTTCCATTTTTCTAGGTGTTAATCTTGACGACACATACAATGAAACGCCCTACGAGAAGGGGTACTGCTTCGTGAGCTACTTGGCCCATCTTGTGGGGGACCAGAACAAATTCGATGCCTTCCTCCGCGAGGGTACGAGGAGGTACCAGCTAGAGGTGCCAAGTCATACAAAACCCTGTGGCAGGAGGCCAGAGCCTGATTGGGACCCTGGGAAGGATGGGCTGAACAGGGGGGCTGGGGAGAGGAAGAGGAGGTGGGAAATAGAGATGTTCCTGGGGGAATGAGATGTGGGCAGAGCTTGGCCCCATGCTGGCAGCAGGTGGGGGCAATGCTCGGGGGTGTCCCCGAGGGGTGCAGGGGGGGTGGGCAGCCCCTGGGCTCAGCAATGCAGAGTCCCCATGAGATGGAGCACGGCAAGGGCTGGGGCAGCACTGCTAGGAGTGAGCGCCTGTGGCATCACACCCCGTCCGTCACGGCAGGCCATGTGAACCAGTTCAAGTTCCAGAGCATCACGGCAGAGCACGTGGAGTACTTACTTCCTGGAGCCGAAGGAAAAAGGCATGGACTCCATCCCAGGTCAGCACGGTGCCTTTCTGGGCAGGGGACTGGGGTGCTGCTTTGCAAACCAGCAAATTGGTGCCGTCCCGTGTCCCCTGCAGACCCTGCACACGCTGCTGTGTGTGTTTTACTGGGGACTCTGCTGCTCCTGTTACTGGCCTCGGCTCCGACGGAGGAGGCACAGCGCTGGCAGGCCTGGGATCAGGCTCTAACCGGAGCTCGGGCACGCGCCTGCTCAGCCTCCCTGGTTTTTCCAGTCCGTGCTCTGCACTCAGGTGCTGTTTCATGGGGTTTCCCCACAGACAGCTGAGCCTGGTGAGTAGCACCTGGATGTGAGCGTTTGCCGGTGGAGCCGCTGGCAAGTGCTGGGCTCAGGCTCAGCTCAGCCCTGCTGTGGAGATCCAGGCTGGGCAGGAGCTCTCCGTGCTCGACCTGGCTCATCACTGGTGGCGCTGGGACCGTTACTGCCCAAGCTCACACCAAGCCCGGGGTGGCTTAACAGCTTCACCCCGTTAGTCTCTGCTCATTGCCATCCCTGGGCAGGTTTCCTGGTGCCGGGGACACTCTCAGAGATGGCAGTGGGATCTCTGGGTGGCAGCACCCGCTGTGGGATTCAGAAAACTGGTCTTGGCTGTCCCTCCCTTCCTTGCTGCAGGCTTTGAGTTCAACCACTGGCTGAACACACCGGGCTGGCCGCCCTACCTCACCTGGGGAGCAGCTGATGAAGCTGGCCGACGAGCTGGCAGAGCTCTGGGTAGCCAACAGCTTGAACATGGAAGCGATTGAAGCCGTGGACATCATGGCCTGGAGGATGTACCAGCTGGTCTACTTGCTGGATCAGGTCCTGCAGAAATCCCCTCTGCCAGAAGGTGAGGTCCAGGTCACCTCCCGGGGCTCTGGTGCCCTGGGGAGACACAAAGTGACGTGCCCCGGCCCAGCCAGTTGGCCGGAGATGCGAGGACACATCAGCAGGGACGCATGGGTGCACGGCCACCAGCCCATCACTGCAGTCCAGCGTTGCAGTTCCTGGTGTCTGGGAGCCCTCAGTGCTGGTGGGGGGCGGAGGGCCAGGGCGAGTGTGTCCCCAGACATACGGGGACACGTGCAGTGGCATGGAGGAGCCCTGCTATCCCCAGGCTGGCTCAGCTGGGCTGTCGCCTCCCCATGCCGCCTCACCTCTCCTTGCACTCTTTGCTGAGGGACCTCCCCACCCTTCATGCTGGCGTCCCAAGGCGCTGGGCACAGGGCTCTGCAGGGCTGCCAGGCCCCAGGAGGCCCAACATGGGCACCCTCCTGCCCAGAGCCAGGCAGTGCCTAGGGTGCTCCCGGAGCTGGGGGTGCCAGCAGGGTCCAGGGCTGGCCCAAGGCGGGGAGGATCCCAGAGGCTTTGCAGCACAGCTGGGCTGGGCTCACAGGCGGTGTGGGAAGGCTGAGCAAGACGTACCCGAAGATCTCCAAGGCCCCAGAATGTTGAGCTGCTACTGCACTGGTGCCAGACCGTCCTCAAGAACAACCTTGAGGCCGAGTACAGCAAGGGCAAGGACCTCCTCCACAGCCAGGTTCCTCCCTGGGCAGCGGGGGCTGTGCCCGGCGGCGTGCCGTCGGGGCAGAGATGAGCAGGGGCACAGGACCCTCTGTGCCAGAGGTTGGCTCTTGCACTTGATGGACTTGATAGAATGGTTTGGGTTGGAAAGGACTTAAAGATCATCCAGTTCCACCCCCTGCCCGGGCAGGGAACCCTTCCCCCAGCCCAGGGGGCTCCCAGCCCCGTCCAACTTGGCCTGGAACCCTTCCAGGGAGGGGGCAGCCACAGCTGCTCTGGGCACCCTGGGCCAGTGTCTCACCACCTGAACAGGGAAGAATTTCTGCCTTACATCTCATCTAAATCTGCCCTCTGACAGTTTGAAACTGTCACCCCTCGTCCTACCCCCACCCCCTGACCCAGAGTCCCCCCCCACCTCTCCTGTCCCCCCCTTTAAGCCCTGGGAGGCCGCTCGAAGGGCTCCCCGGAGCCTTCTCTTCTCCAGGCTGAACCCCCCCAACTCTCTCAGCCCGGCCCCCCAGGGGAGCTGCTCCAGCCCCCCCAGCATCTTCGTGGCCTCCTCTGGCCCCGCTCGAGCAGCTCCGTGTCCTTCTGCTGTTGGGGGCCCCCGAGCTGGCCCCAGCACTGCAGGGGGGTCTCCCCAGAGCGGAGCAGAGGGGGAGAATCCCCTCCCTGGCCCTGCTGCCCACCCTGCTCTGGGTGCAGCCCAGGGCACGGGTGGGTTCTGGGCTGCGAGTGTACGGGGCTGCCTCACGGGCAGTTTTCCACCCGCAAACACCCTCAAGTCCTTCACAGGGCTGCTCTCCATCCACCCATACCCCAGCCTGTACCGACAGTGGGGATTGCCCTGACCCAGATGCAGGACCTTGCACTTGGCCTTGTTGAATTTCAGGAGTTTCTCATGGCTCCATTCCTTCTTCAAGGTCAAGGTCTTCTCCCCTCTCCAGGTGCTACAGGGCCAAGGGCTGCCCACAGCAGCATTTCTGACCCTGTCACATCGCTCTGTGCTCTCTCCCTGGCCATGAGCAGGGCGATGCTGTAGGTGTTGTGCCCTGGGTGGGAGTCAGGGGGATATGGGGCTCCTGGGGCTTCACCCCACTGGAGCCGGGGAGGAGGTCGGGGTGTAACCCCAGCTCTGTCCCTGCAGGGGAAGCAGAAGCACACCCTGCCCCTCTACCGCGACGTGTGGGGCGGGTCGGAGACAACCCGGGCCCTGGCCATGGAGACCTTCTCTGCTACAGCCCCCCAGCTCCGCATCAGCCTCCAGAACTACGTCAAGAAAATCCTGGGCTTGGAGGTGGTGGAGGACTAATGCAGCCTGGGCTCTGCTCCCTCCATGGTCTCTTTCTCTGGCAAGACCTCAGTGCTCTCCCCCTCACTGCACGTTTCCTCATTAAAATGAGGATTTTTTTTTCACGCCTTTCCTGGTCCCAGTGACCCATGAGCAACCTTAGCGTGACTCCCCGCTCCTCTCACCCAGGATCCAGGCTGGTGCCCCAGGAGGGAAAGCCACCGGCTCTGGTCCGGGATGTGCAAGGTCACAGGGATGGGGCTGGTGTCAGCGTCCTCAGGGCTGGAGCAGGTGAGGGCAGCCGTGCCCCTGAGCTGCACCCGTCCTTACTGGGCTCCTGTCGAGTCCTGTCCTGGGGGGCAGAGGGGAGGGGAGAGCTGGTGATGTCTGCACAGTGGGGACCCGACCCTGCAGGCTCTGGGCAGGGAGTGGCAAAACGGGGACCTCTGGGCTTCAGATGGGCTGAGACCACCTTGTAAACCCCGGGCCTAACACCCAGGGGGTGACGAGAGCAGATTTCTGAACAGCACCGTAAGGGATGGCGGGGCCTCTGCCCCCTGCGCAGCCTGACGGGCTTTTAGCCGGGCCTCTTCAGTCAGGGACTCGCCCCCCATGCCGGCGGGCAGCCAGGCCCTGACAGCAAACACCCCAAGCCCGAACGCGGTACCGTGCGCTTCCTGGGACCTGCTCTTTGCTGGGATAAATCCCAGAGCGGGGACGATGGTGCAAGTAAAGCACGACTGGAGGGCTTTGAAGAGCCAGCCTGGCTTATGTATGGCAGAGACTGTAAGAATAAGACAAAGCTAGACAGCCATGCTGTTATTTATTCCTTACCAAATGCGGGAATGTGAGTGCACTCCCCAAAATTCCAGGACAAAACTGCCCCAAGGCCACACCAACCCCAGGAAGCTGCTAACCATGAAGGCCCCCCCCAGCCCACTGTCTCAAAAGGATGCTCCGAGGGGCGAGAACGAGAACACCATTGCCTTAGGAAGCTCAAATAAATACCACTGTGCACGGCCACGGCCCCGCTGCCAGGCCTGCGGCTCCTCCACCAGCTGCTCCTGCCGGGCCTCCTGCCCCGAGATCCCTTCGGAAACGCGGGGTGCCCCGCGGGGCTGGCGGGGCCGTCCCTTTCGGGCCGTGCATCTGCCTGATGCTGCTGGCAGGTTGGCCCGTTCCCCCCCAGCGGCCCTGGCCCTTCTCTTGCCTCCTTCCCCCGAGCCCCAGCCCGGTCCTGCAGGGCCAAACCGCGGGGGGACCTGCCGGAGCCCCCGCTGAGCAACCAGGTGCAGGGGGGGGACAGCTCAGGCCGAAGGAGTCAGCCTGGCCCCCAGGGCAGGTCCTCAGCTCCTCTCCGAGGGGTGCACGATCTTGGCACCCCCCCCCCCAACAGCAGCCCAGAGGCGAATCCCAACAGCGGTGTAACAGCGCTGCGGACTGCCCTTTTTCAGACAACAAATCCCACGGATGCGATGCAACTCTGACCACGGGTACAGTCACTGGAGCCGGGAGTAAGCCAAGGCCACCTCCAAAGCAAAGACGCCCGCAGTGCTCAGGGGGTGCAGAGGCTGCACATCTCCTCCCAGATGGGCTCAGGAGTAAGCTCCAAACCCCACAGAGTTTGAGAAAATGGAGTCAAAGGGGCTGGTTATGGCACGGTTGAAATGAGCCTGTTCTTCTCTACTGAGGAAATGAGGCTGTGCATGTTTAGGAAATGGGTGTCCTCTAGTGGATTCAGCATAGCTGAAAATAACTTGTAGTATTCTTACAAGTTGAGACGCATCCCCTTTCTGCAACTGCAGATCTCCTGGTTTCCCAGGGAGCATGCAGACTGTCGGTACAATTAACATGACCTCTGACAAGAGACTTCATTACTTATGTGGTATCTGGAAATAATCCCTCCAGGTGAAAATGAGCCCTTGGCTCTCAAATGCATCTGCCCCCTCTGGTCTGACTCACCTGAGCAAGCCATCAGCTGGAAGACAGATCAAGTGGTCCCTAAAGCACTTCCCTTGGATTCCATGAAATGACACATTCTACATTGCACAGCGACTGCATGACATGCTACAGGACGCTGAACAGGAGCTCCCAACTCGTTCTGCACCATGAACACTTTACTGGCCTGAATTAAAAATTATGGCCAGAAGGGTGGAAACACGGGGGCTGGGCAGCTACGCTTCCCAGGAGGGATCTTCCACCACTCCAGCTCAGGCCAACTCTTGCTGTTCCAAACAGCCAAGCAGAGCAGCACGTCAGCACTGCCTCCTGCTTCATCTCTGCGAGCTGGTGCGGCTTAAGGCAGGACAAGATTCTGCTTCTCAGCTTCTGTGTCACTCCCTGCTCTGCGCTGCCTTGGCAGCTCTTGGCAGGGCTGGCAAGCAGTTCTGCCAGCAGATGTTTCACCAACACCAGCTGATCTCCAATGCTCCCCAACCAAGCTGCATAATTCAGCAGCTGGGGAGAGGTAAAGCTCCTTTCCCTCTGCAGTGTGGGAAACATCCAGCACGGCGGGGAGCCGGGGAGCCGCAACCTGGAGGGAACAGCCACTGCTTCTGACTGGCTGGAAAGGGCGCTCTGCCTTCATTTACCTTCCTCCTGCAAAGGCAACGACTAGCGAAGACACTTCAGAATAAAATTAGTAACAAGATGTAGCACACTTATTTTTAACAGTGACCTTCATCTAGATCTGAGATTTTTGCTTATTTTTTTTCCAAAATGAAAGCCAAGTCAATCATGAAATTCCAGGAGATGATGTTAACTCTTTATTAATAAACTGATTTAGAAAGGCTTAGCAAGACAGGATTAATGGATTTGATGGTCAGAAAGGGCTGCTGTAATCTTCTACTCTGACCTGCTGCAGAGAACAGGTCTGGACCTCCTGAAGCCCACCAACTGAGGAAGCTGCAAAAGGGCTTATCTTTTAATCCATGCCATGGAGAGTCTCTGGAAAGTCACTACATTCTGGTCCAACAGTCAGCCTCACTGCGAACGCCATGCTTTCTGTTTCCAGTTTTGTTATATCTGACTTCCCCTTACAGCCCTTGGCTGTGTCAGCTGAAGTTCTTTAAATAGTATTCTTTAAATATTGTGTTTCAAAGTATTAATGACTCTCTTACTCATGCCTGCTTTATTTTACAGTATAAAAGTAATAACGGGCTTGATTCTGAACTTAGTTACTCCCCAAACCACGTGGAATAACTTCCTTCCTGTAATGGTTTCAATTTTACAATTGCGTAACAGAGACTGAACCCTTCTCCACAAAAGTACAAACCAAGCAAATCCATGGAAGAGCAAGTCAGCTGTCCATGCTCCTCTGGGCCGCCTGCTGTACTGCGTAGACACTCTGAGCAGCTCAGTGTGGAATGGTAAAAAAGGAGAGTCAGCTGTAAAGTGCTAGTTTTTTTGAGGAACAAATGAAAAGTTCGATTACCAAAGCATGTCATATGTCTGAGCCCAGCTCTGCGCACTGCTTGTCTGATATGTGGTTAGCTAACGACTCTATGATGTCAAGAAGGAGGAGCTGACTTAGGGAGCGGAGATTTGGCAACTTGGAGACCTTCAGTGAAAAGAAAAACAGAACAGAAAAAAAAAAGAAAGAAATTAAAACCCTCCCCAAACCGTAGGTGATGTATCACCGTTTTACCCCTACCACCCCACATGAAACAGGCAGGTCAGGCAAGTCAAAGGCTGGCACATACAGCGTGAAATCACCGTCGTAGAACTGGGCTGCAGAGGATGGCCCACGGGCGCTCCAGTCACAAGGTCCTGCACTTAAAACCCAATTCCAGACTGCTGTGTGGAGGGGATGGCAATGGAGGACAGCAGAAATTCTGACCCCAGCACTGCCTCTCTGAGAAAGGAGCATAATTACTGTTTATATTGACAACTCTACGATGCCAGCTAAACACTCTCCTAAAAGCAAAGTTGGGCCCTGAACTTTGAAGTCTGCATGTTTCTACTGAGAATGTGACTCAGGACCTGATCTCTCCACTTTTGTGTGCTCCTAAGGAGAGGCTGTGCTTAGTGTCCATGCTGGTTTTGCTGGTATGCCTCCTGCAGTCAGAGCAGGTCATTGGAGCACTAGCCAACAAAAACCTTCACCACATCAGAAATATGAGAATCTACAACAAACTTCAGGTTTTTGGACTGTTCAGAAGCTCAACTGTTATCAAAAAGGAGGCCTACATTCCTTCCTTCTCCACAACCACATAGTAGTGAGAGAGTAATCTCTCTTTCTAGCGTTATTAACATACATGCCTACCCTTGGAGGCGGACTGCCTAAAAGCCTGTCCATTTACCCACCCTGTATTAACTGATCTAATAAAAGATTATCATCTTACTCTAAGAAGCTTTACTGTGGTAAAGAATAAAGACATCCCAAGCATCTTTTGAAACCCAGGAAGGAAATGGCTGAGCACGCTTTCAGAAAGAGCTCAGGACATGTGCTTGAAGTAATATCCCCAAAATAAGGGTCTGCGAGGACTGGGTGGGAAAGAGACCCCATTAATGCTGGTGGGAATCCTGCCCCCACACTGAGGCACGCACTGCGGAGGAAGAGATCAGGGTGTCAGTACAAACACTTCAGAACAGCAGTTTTATTAGGGCTTTTGCACAATACTGACACACAATAGCCTAAAAACATGTTGCCCAAACTAGCGAACCTCCGGGAACAGCTCTTCAATTAACATTCTTGCTGTGGGGTAAACTCCTTAACAGTCCGAATTGAGGACAGCATTAATCAAGCTGGAAGACCAGGAGATCCCAATGGTCACACACCCAGCCTGCCTAAACCCTGATGACACACCGGGCTTGTGCAGCTAGAACAAAACACCCTTCAGAGGCTGTGGCTTGCCAGGGAGCAGAACAGCAAGTATTCGTGCCCAGCCACACATAGAGTCACCCAGTCCTGGGCCAAAAATCACACACTGAAGCCTCTCAGGCCAAAGAAAAACATTGCATAATTAAGATTTCTTCATGCACATCTGCTTGACAGTCTTCCAGCCATATTTTGATAAAAA